ATAGCAAGAGACAAATCGCCAAGTGGAAGAAGATCAAAGAGACAACCTAGGAAAAGATGGTCAGACAACATCAATTGAGGCTAAAAACCGAAGTAAAACAGGCATGAGCTTATTAATAAAGTAGGAAGAAGAAGAAAAATATGGATTTAAGGATTTTTTGACTTTTTGTTAAATAAGATGGGTTTTATACTTTTATAGAAATTTGTTAAGTAACTTATTTAATGTTATTATGCAAGTAAAGACATAGTCATACTATACGATTATTCTACAGCTTGTAGTGTACTAGTATTAGAGTTCAATGCAGTTTGTTAAGTTCGCTAGTTCGTGAAGAAACAGATTTTTTCCACTAGTATTAGTCGCTAGTTTCATGTTTGATCAATTAATAAAAAATAAAGCATATTTTTAGTACCTATGTGTTTTAACCTATGGCCCTTTTAGTTTCGTTTTGCAAAATAAAAACAATTTTAATCAAACTTCTGAACTGAAATATCAAAAAAACTTGTATAATTCACAAACGACAAAAAACAGTGTTTAAAACATGCTTTAAACAGTTTAAACACAAATTGGTTTAAAACACCTTCACTTGTTTTAAACATTTTGATTAAAACATAACAACCCTGGATGAATAGGTTTATTTTGTGATATTTGTAGTTTTAAAAATGCAGTTTTGTTTGCAGTGGACAAAATAGAGTAACCACTTGCGAAAATTCCATAGTAGTAATTTATTTTTTTGATCTCTTTTTATATAATACAGGGTGTCCGCTAAGTTGGGGTTTTCCTTTACATGACGTGTAGATCTTGAAAACATAAGCAATTTTTCTTAGTACCATATACACCAATGTCTTAAGGGAACCGAGATAAAGGGCTCTGCAACATCAAAAATATCTGAATACCGTCCTGTAGCCGCGACATCCCAGACTGGTACTAGGACACTAGCTCAACCCGACGACAGAACTGGGTCGGGGTCAGTGTGTCAGGTCAGTATGCAACCTTCAACCGACGGTTACGGTCACGCGTGTAGAGGTAATCGCGTAGACGAGAATCGCTCAACAAGCACTAGAGACGTGGCTAGAGAAGTGCAAGTATCAAGAACTAAAGTGCGCAAGCGCTGCGTGAAGAGGGGCTGTATCCGTTTCACGTCCAACGTGTACATGCTCTTCAACCTGACGATTTTCCAGCAAGAGTGCGGTTTTGTGAGTGGTTGTTGCATCAACATGACAATAATCCGGACTTTTTGAAGTGCATATTGGTGACAGACGAATCTACGTTCACGCGTAATGGGGTGAATAACTTTCGCAATACTCATGTTTGGTCAGTAGAAAATCCGCACGCTGTCCGTCGGGCACATTTTCAACAAACATTTTCGGTGAATGTTTGGGCTGGCATGGTGAACAGTATGCTCATTGGACCAAATCGATTGGACGGGATGCAATACCTAGACTTTTTACGCAACATTTTGCCTTCCTTGTTAGAAGATGTGCCATTAAGTGTAAGACAATCAACGTGGTTTCTGCGTCTGCTCGGTAGCGCATCTGCTGATTTCATTTTCTGTTGGAGCGATATGATTTCGGGCAGAGACGTACTTAGCCCTCCTCGTCAACTGGAGACTGAGTACTTTTTCCTTTATTTTTTTTACTTGGTCGCCCTCGTTACACTACACACTACCTTTGTTATTTCAAGGGTAGTTGTTTCTGAAAAGGAAAACCCCAACTTTGCGGACACCCTGTATATTCAAATTTCAATTTACTATCTACATATATGCCCAAATATTTAAATGTCTCGAAATACTCAATTTTTTCATTATTAAGACTTATCGTATTTCCATCTAAATATTTTCCTATAAGCATATATTTTGTTTTGTTGTTATTTGATTTTAGCTTATTCACATTCAACCAATTAATTATGTTTCTAGAAATTATGTGCAATTCACTTGAAATTTGGAGGGTCTTCGAGTTAAATCAACTTCAGATTTGTGTTCAACATATTGAAATACTGAAGAAATACGTTTACATCTAGGACGAAAATAACTTCCGTTTGCCTAAGTATAATTCTAGTCAAACGTACAGACCACATTTTTATTTTTGTGTGTCAATTGAAAATTAGAAGCAAACGCGTCTCTGGTCCGTGGACTGTTTCGTCGATTTTTCAGCTAAACCGATATTAATAATTAATATAAATTATTAATAATTCCCTCTATGCAAAACACGACACTGTATTTATGCATTCGCCATTTTATAGGTTTGTTCTGGATTTCAGGAAAGGCTGTAATGCATTATTATTCCTGGAACGAACAACAATTCTTCTGCATGTTTCGAATGCGAAATCTTTTTATTAATCAATATAATACAAGGGTAGAAAATGTAAATAATTTGCATAGTCTGTTCAGTACAGGGCTGAAACGGCCTGAGTAGATATGTACATACCTAAACTTGGCAACCAGGGCTAGATTGGAATAGGCCAGAGATAAATAATCAGGATTTGTTGAGTAGAACCCTAGCGATAAAAAGATATATTGAGGTTCTTGGAATATATGTCACAGTACACAACAGTAGAAATCTAGAACTGCCCCAGCCTTTCTGAAGGAGAAAAAAGACTACGAAAATGATGGAGGCGTCCTATATGGCCTCCTTGATTTTCACAGTCTTGTCTCTCCTTAAGAAAGGCTGAGATATTTCTAGGTGTCTACTGTTCCCTGTCAGCGTCAGCGCTCTTCTATTGTGAGGCTATGTTTTTCTAATTGTAGGAAATTTCAGATTGATATAACAGATGATATAAACCAAAAGCATGTACAATTTAATGCAAATAACATAACATAACCTCAAAATGTACCCATGACAATCAAGGAGGCCATAAAGGCGTCATACAATTGTAACACATCGACTGAAAAGTTCATAGGGCTAGTGAGAGAAAACACACGCTTATGCAAAATTCAACTATATTCGTCAAGATAGTCTCCTTCAAGAGCGATACAATTAGTCCAACGCACTTTTCTATGCCTGTCATAGAACGATTTTTCCTTGGCCTCAAAATTTGCTTCAGTTTCTACTGTCACTAGTGAATAAATGGTCGGAATGACGTGAAATTTTGACAGTTGACGTTTGACGGATGCCACTTCTTGGTAATAATAATGACTTTTCGTTCGTGGTGCCATCTGTGAGTCATTCTATGAACTTTTCAGCCGATGTGTTAGGAACGACTGACGATACGGCCCTTAGTATCTGATCTATTCACTAGTGGGGCATTTCACGTGAAGCAACCAGCGCAAAAAATTAAGGTTCTAAAATCCGCTCATATTGGGCCTGTTTGAACATCTAGTAGATTTGAAAAAGAAGACACGATTTCCTTTCGCGGCAGGCCCATTTCAGATTTGAAATTGGGATTTTCTTCGACCTGAAAAGTACCACCGTTGGATATGAAACATAGAGATACAGGGTGTTTAGTGCATCGTTTGAAAAATGAAATGGTAGATTAGGTCTTTTTCACCCCAGTTTTTAGCCCAACGGAATTAATTATGTAGATTTTTTATTTTTTTTTTCAAAGATAAATTAATCATTAGGTGGACATACTCTTTATTTTTTATTTCACTTTGCGTATTACATTTCAAGTTTTTACTAAAAAAAAAATAAAAAATCTACATAATTAATTCCGTTGGGCTAAAAACTGTATACAGGAAATAAAAATAAAAAAAACTTGAGGTACTAAGCCGGAAGTCAACATTTCAAATCAAATTATAAAATACTTCTACTAATTACGGGTTTGTACCCTATTTACATCAAATTCCAATAATTGAGAGAATCGTATGAAAATTAAGTATAATTTCATTTTGAAATATAATTAAACTGATTACAATAACTGGAAAATACTCATAGTGTTGTAATATCTCGCAAACGCATATTCAGGGCGACATGTTCGCAGATAAAAATACGTACCTCCTTAATTTCAAAACTACTTATGTGGTTTAAACACACTTTAGGATATACAGGGTGTCCGCAAAGTTGGGTTTTCCTTTACACGACGTGTAGATCTTGAAAACATAAGCAATTTTTCTTAGTACCATATACACCGATGTCTTAAGAGAACCGAGATAAAGGGCTCTGCAGCATCAAAAATATCTGAATACCGTCCTGTAGCCGCGACATCACCGACTGGTACAAGGTCACTGGCTCAACCCGACGACAGAACTGGGTCGGGGTCAGTGTGTCAGGTCAGTATGCAACCTTCAACCGACGGTTACGGTCACGCGTGTAGAGGTAATCGCGTAGACGAGAATCCCTCAACAAGCACTAGAGACGTGGCTAGAGAAGTGCAAGTATCAAAAACTAAAGTGTGGCAAACGCTGCGTGAAGAGGGGCTGTATCCGTTTCACGTCCAACGTGTACAAGCCCTTCAACCTGACGATTTTCCAGCAAGAGTGCGGTTTTGTGAGTGGTTATTGCATCAACAATCCGGACTTTTTGAAGTGGATATTGGTGACAGACGAATCTACGTTCACGCGTAATGGGGTGAAGAACTTTCGCAACACTCATGTTTGGTCAGTAGAAAATCCGCACGCTGTCCGTCGGGCACATTTTCAACAAACATTTTCGGTGAATGTTTGGACTGGCATGGTGAACGGTATGCTCATTGGACCATTTATTCTCCCAAATCGATTGGACGGGATGCAATACCTAGACTTTTTACGCAACATTTTGCCTTCCTTGTTAGAAGATGTGCCATTAAGTGTAAGACAATCAATGTGGTTTCTGCGTCTGCTCGGTAGCGCATCAGCGGGCAGAGACGTACTTAGCCCTTCTCGTCAACTGGAGAGTGAGTTCTTTTTCCTTTATTTTTTTACTTGGTCGCCCTCGTTTCACTACACATTACCTTTGTTATTTCAAGGGTAGTTGTTTCTGAAATGGAAAACCCCAACTTTGGAGAAAAAAAAGTCGAAAACATGAAAATAAAAAGTTGCACAAATTTTGGATTGAAATGTTTACCCTTTAAATTTTTTTTTAATTTCCTATATAAAACGCTACGTTTCAGATTCCAGTATGATACTTGTCTATTCCAAAAAAAATCAATTTCAAATACTTTCGTGCCATGAAAAAGATCGCGTTGTCTCTTTCACACCTACTATTATGAACGAATTAGAAAACATTTTTTTGCTGTCCGTTTTACGTAAATTGCCGCTAGTTCCAGTTGGCAGATTGCCGTACTCATATTTCTAATACTGAACGACGTCTGCAATACACAATGACTACTGCTTCATCTGACTAGCTGTTCATGTTCCAGAAGCATCAGTGACGACGATTGCCTTGAAGACACACCGATTTTGGCACGATATTCCAGGCCACACGAACGCTCTCACCGTTTCGCAGGTTCTGTCTGACGAATGGTGTCGTTGGTGCTTTTCCAGTTGGAGTTTCGCCGGCGTAGCAAAATCTGTTAACAAAAAGGTACAATGTTAGATTAAGCTCAATATCCCATTTCAAATAACATCGATCTTGAATGCTGGATAGGAGAGATCAGTCAAGATACCATTGGACCCTTTGTACGTGTTGGCCAATGGGTCGCTCAAGGTTGGATCGTCATCCACTAGAGGTTAGATATTTCTAAAGCATTCGATATCGTTCTTTGTTACGAATTGTATGTGGTTTGTTTTTTCGAATTCTTCTGTCAATATGATTCATAACTTCTTACAGAACGGTGAGATATGATTTCGTCGCCAAAATGATTTATTCCTTCAGGAGTACCGCAAGGGTCTATACTTGGGGTATACTGGTACTAGGACACTAGCTCAACCCGACGACAGAAATGGGTCGGGGGTCGGAGTCAGTGTGTCAGGTCGGTATGCAACCTTCAACCGACGGTTACGGTCACGCATGTAGAGGTAATCGCGTAGACGAGAATCGCTCAACAAGCACTAGAGACGTGGCTAGAGAAGTGCAAGTATCAAAAACTAAAGTGTGTTAAACGCTGCGTGAAGAGAGGCTGTATCTGTTTCACGTCCAACGTGTACAAGCTCTTCAACCTGACGATTTTCCAGCAAGAGTGCGGTTTTGTGAGTGGTTGTTGCATCAACATGACAATAATCCGGACTTTTTGAAGTGCATACTGGTGACAGACGAATCTACGTTCACGCATAATGGGGTGAATAACTTTCACAACACTCATGTTTGGTCAGTAGAAAATCCGCACGCTGTCCGACGAGCACATTTTCAACAAACATTTTCGGTGAATCTTTGGGCTGGCATGGTGAACGGTATGCTCATTGGACCATTTATTCTCCCAAATCGATTGGACGGGTTGCAATACCTAGACTTTTTACGCAACATTTTGCCTTCCTTGTTAGAAGATGTGCCATTAAGTGTAAGACAATCAATGTGGTTTCTGCACGATGGTCATATTTGTTACCTCTGTTCGTGGTCTACTGGTCTGCACCACCGCCGGCGTCTGCTCGGTAGCGCATCAGCTGATTTCATTTTCTGTTGGAGCGGTATGATTTCGGGCAGAGACGTACTTAGTCCTTCTCGTCAACTGGAGAGTGAGTACTTTTTTCTTTATTTTTTTTTACTTGGTCGCCCTCGTTTCACTACACACTACCTTTGTTATTTCAAGGGTAGTTGTTTCTGAAAAGGAAAACCCCAACTTTGCGGACACCCATAAACAATTTCTTGACTATCAAACAAGAAAGTATTTTGCGAATCTTTGATGTCTAAAATTACTTATTGTGATATAGTTTAGGTGACATTCTTAGACTCGTTTTTTTTTAATGGCACCAGGACTATGTCCCATTAACCAGATCCTTTTTATACAGTGGGCTGCTGCACTGTTCGCGAAACAAGCCTTGAGGTGTAGATGCGTCTACAAAAAATTCAAAATTCCTGTTGCAGAACAATAACTAAGAAAGTATGATCATATCAGTTTTACTTAAGAGACGAGAAATGGCCGATAGTAAAATACTATATCAATTACATTTAATCACTTGTACCCATAAGCTTCTACTCACAGTCATTCCTCCATTTTTAACGTTAAACTGATACCCAAGAAAAATGTTGACACAAAAGACGTTCTTTTAGCTCTCCCTTGGTAAATTTTCACATACAACGCAGTTATCCCTATACCGAACCTCCACGAGCCATAAAATTTCTAAAATGTGAAAAATTAAGAAAACACATAATATTTTTTTGAAAAATCTACTTAAATTAGTTTCTTCTTAACCCTTCGCTTCACACAATTTTTCAATGTACAATTTAATTCTTTCAACTATAAAACTGTTACAACTTACATATATTTTATATAGAAATTAAACGACTATTATTACTCTTATTAACATTGAAATATTCTATGTACGGATATTGATGTTGCCACGTGTGATCAATACACATAGCGCCATATAGGTCGATAGATATCCTAAACCGCATCCGTCGAGAAATGTGCACATCGTCAGCGAATAATGCATAATCTGCAAAAAGGGAGTTCTATCGGTTTATAAAAAGTGTCCTGGGATCACTCGTGGTGGATCTCTTTAAGTCAAGGATAACGCAATCTTTTTTGTTTTACAATTTTTGCTGAATCTCTAAAAACAAAGCGAAGGGGGGTACTGAAAGGTTTCGATAATATAATTGTGGCCCTGCGAATATAACGGCACATTAACATCGTATTTTCAGCATAGAAAAGGTTGAAAGCTAGTAATAATAATAATAATAATAATATTTATTCACTCAATGTACAAAGATAACAAAAATATGAGTAAATAAATATAAAATCAAAACAGGCCCAGTAGAAGGCATCGCCTGTACATGGACCAATAAATTTAAGTTGAAACTGTAGAATGCAAATGACAAAAAAGGACAAAAATTAGCTACAGTAAATTATGTATTTAGTTGATGTTCGTATTTATGAGTTTATGAATTTCAGACCTAGATATAGAATGTAGCCACTTTTTTAAATTTCTTTTGAAACAATTTCCGACACGTAAATCTTTTAAGTCTTTAGGTATAATTTCATAGAATTTAGGCTGGTATAATGATTATGTTTAATTTTTTGGTCGGTGTTTACAAATTTATGGTAGTGAGTGATACTGTGTAAGAAATAAAGCTGTCTTATATCATACATTCGAACATCTGCGTATAATTTTTCAGTGGGATAAAGTTTCGGTTTTTTAAATATCATTTTTAGAATACTTTTTTGAAAAACATCTAAATTATAGATATGTGAGGAACATGCAGCTCCCCATGCTAATATACCATATGTGAGATGAGGCTCAATCAGTGCATGGTATAATGTTCGAAGATATTTTTCTGTCAATATATTCCCAAGGTACTTAATTTTGTAGGATACAAATCTAACTTTCTTTAAAATATAATTGACATGGATGTCCCATCGTAAGTGAGGATCCAAGACCACTCCAAGGTATTTTATGTTGGGCACTCTATTAATTTGCATTTTTTGATCATTAATATTGAAGGAGAAATTTGTGTAATTTGGCAGATGTCTAGCATAAGATCCAAATGGTAAAAAATGTGTTTTAGAGTAGTTAATGCTTAATTTTCATTTTCAATTACATTTTTCAGATCAGACCAGTCAGTGCCTTCATATAATATTGCAGTATCATCTGCAAAACTAGTTATTTTGCCAACACAATTAATTTGGAAAATGTCATTTAAATATATATTGAATAACAGCGGACCTAAGACAGTTCCTTGTGGGACACCACACTTAATATACATTTCTTTACTAAATGTTCCTGATATCTGCACAGATTGTGGGCGATTTGACAAATAACTTTCGATCAGATTAATTAATAATTACACCATATTCTCGCCTGTCTTGAAGTGCTTCTTCTTCATCCGATGATGTATAAATTTTTTTAGGTCAAAGATGATACTACTCGTTTTTCTTTTTTAGCACAAATAACTTTCGATCAGTGAGTACGCGTTTCCTCTGAAACCAATTCTCTCCAATGCTTCTAATCACAAATTATTATTAGAAGCATTGGAGAGAATTGGTTTCAGAGGAAACGCGTACTCACTGATCGAAAGTTATTTGTCAAATCGCCCACAATCTGTGCAGATATCAGGAACATTTAGTAAAGAAATGTATATTAAGTGTGGTGTCCCACAAGGAACTGTCTTAGGTCCGCTGTTATTCAATATATATTTAAATGACATTTTCCAAATTAATTGTGTTGGCAAAATAACTAGTTTTGCAGATGATACTGCAATATTATATGAAGGCACTGACTGGTCTGATCTGAAAAATGTAATTGAAAATGAAAATTAAGCATTAACTACTCTAAAACACATTTTTTACCATTTGGATCTTATGCTAGACATCTGCCAAATTACACAAATTTCTCCTTCAATATTAATGATCAAAAAATGCAAATTAATAGAGTGCCCAACATAAAATACCTTGGAGTGGTCTTGGATCCTCACTTACGATGGGACATCCATGTCAATTATATTTTAAAGAAAGTTAGATTTGTATCCTACAAAATTAAGTACCTTGGGAATATATTGACAGAAAAATATCTTCGAACATTATACCATGCACTGATTGAGCCTCATCTCACATATGGTATATTAGCATGGGGAGCTGCATGTTCCTCACATATCTATAATTTAGATGTTTTTCAAAAAAGTATTCTAAAAATGATATTTAAAAAACCGAAACTTTATCCCACTGAAAAATTATACGCAGATGTTCGAATGTATGATATAAGACAGCTTTATTTCTTACACAGTATCACTCACTACCATAAATTTGTAAACACCGACCAAAAAATTAAACATAATCATTATACCAGCCTAAATTCTATGAAATTATACCTAAAGACTTAAAAGATTTACGTGTCGGAAATTGTTTCAAAAGAAATTTAAAAAAGTGGCTACATTCTATATCTAGGTCTGAAATTCATAAACTCATAAATACGAACATCAACTAAATACATAATTTACTGTAGCTAATTTTTGTCCTTTTTTGTCATTTGCATTCTACAGTTTCAACTTAAATTTATTGGTCCATGTACAGGCGATGCCTTCTACTGGGCCTGTTTTGATTTTATATTTATTTACTCATATTTTTGTTATCTTTGTACATTGAGTGAATAAATATTATTATTATTATTATTATTACTAGCTTTCAACCTTTTCTATGCTGAAAATACGATGTTAATGTGCCGTTATATTCGCAGGGCCACAATTATATTATCGAAACCTTTCAGTACCCCCCTTCACTTTGTTTTTAGAGATTCAGCAAAAATTGTAAAACAAAAAAAGATTGCGTTATCCTTGACTTAAAGAGATCCACCACGAGTGATCCCAGGACACTTTTTATAAACCGATAGAACTCCCTTTTTGCAGATTATGCATTATTCGCTGACGATGTGCACATTTCTCGACGGATGCGGTTTAGGATATCTATCGACCTATATGGCG